AAAAAAAGGACATGGAAATCTCATAACACAGTGCTCTATACAGCACGCCAACAAATGCAACGTATCATTATTTACATAATGGATTGTGTTGCAGCCTCAGAGGATTTAACTAATAGCAGTAATCCCTGCTGTAGGAGCCTGGTGGCCCCAGTGGGACACTCTGGAGCTCACTGCTGTGCCTCAGCAGGTGCCCCAGTGCATTATGTATGCCCTGAAACCGTTCTCAGTTGTAGCTCCCTTGCTGAGGACCTTCCAGGGCTGTGGCTCTGCTGACTGCCAGGCAGATGTGGGTGTGGGAAAGAGGGCAAATGGAGCAGCAAATGGAACCTCCCTCTTTTAATGAAACTGCAGTGAGCAAGGTGTGAAAGAGCAGGATCATGAAGCATGAGGTGCTGTCACAAGGTTTTGCCCGAAATGCATGGTTGTAGGTTATACTCTGGTAAAGAGGCAGCAGTGTGCTGCCAGTATATTCAGGAATAGGAAAGTGGCTGCTTGGTTTGCGCTTCAGCCAGAAGAGATCTGCCATACAATTACAACAGCACATAGACAGCTTCTGCCTGTCCTGAAAGCACAAACCAAGATGTTAAGAAATTAGTTAATTTCTGGCATTCTGCTGCTAAATAGAGGCTTTCTGAAGAGAAAGATCTGTGAAAAAATGTCCACCCCCACCTTTTTTTCATTCATTAGTCTTTAATGAGGCTGTTTTCCAGTGCTATATTAGCCAGCCTTTATAGCCCCACATTAGCTCATGATTTCATTGCTGCTCCATGATTTTATTTAGCTTCTCCAATAATTTATTTCATCCATAAACTACCCTCAGTACTCACTGCATTTGCCTAGCAACTTTCCTTACTTTAATATTATTAAATTAAATATATTTAATAAAAACAGTATACTCAAATGTTTTTCCTTTCTCTCTCACTGCTGCAAATCCTCAAGGGATTGGAAGACTCAAGTCTTTGTTTTCTAACTCAGTGCAGGGGAATGCTTCGGTGGAGCATTAAAGTGCTAGTACGTATGATACCACCCAGTGTTTGGTCTCTGCTTGGACACAACTTCACCATGTTCAGTAATTATTTTTGGGTGGCAATGTGATGACTATCAAACAGCAACTAAACATAAGCACAGCAGTTGTCACGTGCTTAGCAAAAGCGTTACAAGCTGAGGGCTATATAACGCTGCGTACCTACTACTGCATTTTTTGCAAGAGACTCCTGATTAACACAGATGTGCAAACCAACACTAAATTTGTGCCACACTTGCACTTTGCAGTACCTGTAATTATCTTCATAACTCCCCTGTTACAGTCCGATCAGGCAAAGAAGATGCATCATCTACTCACGTGCTGCTATCTCCCTCTCTCTGAACACTGTGGTGCTAATACAGCTTTTTGTCTATAGGGTAGAAATCATAGAATCACAGAATGGCCTGGGTTGAAAACAACCACGATGATCATCTAGTTTCAACCCCCCTGCTGTGTGCAGGGTCACCAACCAGCAGACCAGGCTGCCCAGAGCCACATCCAGCCTGGCTTTGAATGCCTCCAAGGATGGGGCATCCACAGCCTCCTTGGGCAACCTGTTCCAGTGTGCCACCATGCTCTGAATGAGAAACCTCCTCCTAATATCTAACCTAAACCTCCCCTGTCTCAGTTTAAAACCATTCCCCCTTGTTCTATCACTATCTACCCTCGCAAACTGTCATTCCCCCTCCTGTTTATTTGCTTCTTTCAAATATTAGAAGACCACAACGAGGTCTCCCTGGATCCTTCTCTTTTCCAAGCTAAACAAGCCCAGTTCCCTCAACCGTTCCTCATAGGAGAGGTGCTCCAGTCCTCTGATCATCTTAGTGGCCCTCCTCCGGACCCGCTCCAAGAGCTCCAGGACCTTCCTGTACTGGGAACCCCAGGCCTGGAAGCAGTACTGCAGATGGGGCCTCACAAGAGCTGAGTAGAGGGGGACAATCACCTCCTTCACCATGCTGGCCACTCTTCTTTTAATGCAGCTCAGAACATAATTTCTCCTATTGAAAAACACACATGCTTGCAATAATTGTTGAGGATCCTATCGCTTGCTCTTTATTTTTTCCTCTTTCTTCCCCAGAGATGTCAAATCCATAGTAAACTACTACCTGAAATTTTTGCATCCCTCAGGCACCACCACAGAAAGCTATGTCTGGTTCTAAAGGTCTGTCACAAGCTTGAAATGCCAAATGAGTGTAGTGAAATGGATGAATTAACTTCAGGTCGTTAAGCCTGGATTGCTGGTTTCACCCAAGTTTCAGCTGAAACTCAAAACTATGAGCATTTTGGCTCTTTTCAACATGGTATCAACTAACTGCAATAAACAAACATACATAAATCTGCATTTAGACAGGGTCTTACCTGCTCTAATGGGATGAAACTGTTTTCCCAACTAACAAAGAGAAGTTTTGAGGAAGTTAGCACAGAGGATTCACACCTATGATGTCTGGTGCTATCAACTTATTTAACATTTTCCTTTAATCTTCCTTTGAAGCAGTAAGTATTCTAGAGCTAAATATTTGCCTGATAATCAAACACAGACAGATGGTGGATAGCAAGTAGACTTCTATTCGCCCATGGGGATTATTTCACATTTACTAAAAGGAGACCATCTTTCCTAACACCTGTCCCGTTTTTGGAAAAGTACCATTTCGCTATCTGAACAAACTGGAGAAAGTGAAATGTAGCTTTATCTTAGCCTGGACATCTCTAGACTCAGAGACCAAGCTGTGAATTTAAGAGCCTTGGTTTTGTCTCCCCTCCTCCTCCCACCTATTTCTGTGCACTGTTCCCTTGTACTAATTCCCAGCTGTCTCTTTGTTTTCATTTAAAATCTTGCAAAATAACAAGAGCTGAAACAACACCCTTCCTTACAGGCTTAGATTTAGCAAGCTCAGCTGCAGCCCAAGGGGTCTGACCGAGAGGACCATAGTGGCACTGGTATGGGAACCAAGAGGAAGCCAGAGACATGCAGCATTAACCCGTGGTCAGCAAAGTGCTGGTGCCACATGTCATGGATGCTGGTTAAAAGACAGCTGTCCCTGAGGCTATTTATAGCAGAGAAATGGCTCAGCTCTGCCTTGTACTATGACTTTGACATTGTATCTCCTCAGCCAGTGATGATATACAACCATTTGCATTGTGTATTTATAGTCTTAGGCAATTTATAGGCAAAATTTTTCTCCCTTAGTGACCCACTGGCAGCCAGGTCTCTGCTTTAGGGATTGAGGAAGGCAGACTGAGAAGAACCCAGATTTAATTTCAGTGCTACTGCAGTCTGTGTTCATATTGTGGTATGTATACACACACACGTATATATTTATGTATATACATATGCACACAAATATAGCCTCTTCATTCCCCAAGGCTTTGTAAGAAGGGATTCAGCTCTCAAGCAGTACTCTGCTGGGTCAGAATCAAGTCTTTTGCTCAGTTTCTTCTGCCAGTACTGTGACACACACTGCCAATTGCATTGCTCACCCAGGTCTGGGTAAGTATTGCTGCAGCATAATAGAGATTTCTTTAAGTGAATCTTACAGGGTTGAATTGCATGGGTGAAGGTGGACACTCAATATCTCACAGGCTCATGAAAGTCAGCCTGTTGCGATCCATTTTGTTTGGAGAATAAGGCTGTGGTAGACACTGCAGACTATATTTACTCTTGGCATGGCCACTGTGCTGCTATGGAGGGAAGGGCAACGCTCAGCATTTCCTTGTGCTGCCCATGCTGCCATTCTGCATGTGCCATTTGTCTCCAGAATGAGAGATTCCAATCCTTTTATTCACAATGAAGCAACAGGGAAAGCATTTTGGCCGAATTTGTTACCCTGTGTCATGGAAAAGGGAGCCAAGCTTGCTCAACTTGTGAAATTTAGAGAGCCTGAAGATGTAGGCTGGTCCTCTAAAGAAACACAGATTGAACAGTATCTCTTTTAGTTAGTAGAGTGTTTCAAAAATATTATGAATAAATAAAAAACCTCGGATGAGTATAGATCAAAGAGCTTGCAGCAGGCACTGAGTAAACAAGGACTTTGTGGCAGGAGCCTGCTGTCAGGGTGACAGGTTAAATGCTCAAAACATATCCCATAAATTCAGCAGGCGATCAGTGACAGTTAAGGTTATTAAAGCAGACCCTTTCACATGGATTGGCTGTGCATTACCGATTTGTTCTTAAGCATAGAGTTCAGTTTAACAGCTGTGAGGTGGATGACGTAAATGCTGGTGGTGCTCTTCAGACTAGACAGGGCCTTTCCAAAAGTGGGCCTGGGGACACACCATGGCTGTGTAGGTCTGGGTGCTCTCAGGTTGTTGTGGCTCTTCCTTTCAATTGCAGAAAACAGTTTAATGTGGCTATCCCTATGCTTCCTCTAGTAAAGCAGCAGCACTTACCCCATAATTAATGAATGGGGACGATTTGTTACTGTCAGGTCAAAATAAAAAAAAGAAAAAAAAAAGAGGGATTTAAAATTCTTTTCTGTCACAGGCACCTCTCCATCATAATAGGATAAATTTATTTATAGATTTATAGGGTTTCTATTCCATTTTATAAAAACTATAAGAATAACATCTGATATTCAGCAAGCCATTTTACATGCTGTCGTAGTGTGACAGAGCTTTAGCAAGATTTGTTAGCTCTCTTGCTAAATGATTTCACAGCTCACAAATTCCCATCCAAAAGCACTTCAGGTACCGCCAGTGCTGGGCATGCTGACCTCTCACTGGTATGCCTCTGGCTCTGTGTACATGGCATTTAAGTACAGGTCAAGCAAAAATCATACCTCTATTGAATGAGTAATAAGGAAGGCTTTTAAAATTTTTCCTTACCTGAGCTAGTCATGACAGCTGATTGAAGTACTGAATTTCCAAGGTCTATGACAAATCAAAGCAAACACCTCTACTAAGGGCGAAAAGTGTATTTATTCATCTTTTTTTAAAAAAGAGGATCATTCAAGGACTTAAAGGTGAGAGAGAGTGCATCACGCTTAATTTCCAAGTAATCTTCCGATGCACAACCCAGCCAGGTGGTCTGGAAAGAAACAAGCAGCAGCTGAAGTAACAGGGCTATGCAACTCCTAGGGAAGGCTTTGGGGCTAAAGGGTCTGAAGCTCCTGGAACCTCCAGTATGTACCTCATTTAAAGAGAAGCAGTGATCTACCTGGTTTTATCCTATACAAACAGATGTGTCTTATCAGCATGCCGGTTGAAATAGCATACATGACTTGCTGGTGGTGGCATCTGCATGGCTCCATCCACAAGCCATCCTGGCAGCCGCAACTCTGGCAGGAAATGTAAAGGCACTGCATTGAAAAGGGCTCACTGAGTCCTCAAAGAAGTGGAGAAAAATAGTTTGGTTTCTTACAATCCAAGGGCTGTTCACCAGTCAGCCAAAGACAGCAGAGATATTGTCCTTCCCAAGTAGCGTTTACATCCCAAGTAAGAGGAGGCTTATGGAGAAAAATGCACTTTTTTCCTTGCTGTTTATCAACAGCACTTCTCTAACATGCTCACATGACCCACCACTGAAACACAGCTGTATCCTGGACAGAGCAAAGCCAACTACCCAAGGAAAGCCATCTCAAAAGGACTTCCCTTCAGGGGTAAGGAAAACAGTTCACTTACCTGCAATAAGCTGAAAATAAGATGAACTTGTGGAGGCAGAGCATAGATTTGTCATATTTACACAAATTAAGAAACATTTTATCAGTTCCTCAATTAGGTAGAAGTGTTGAGGATGTTGGTTGTTTCCTTAAACAGAATGTTGAACCATTAGTAGAGATGTTTTTAATTACCAGCTCAGTGCTGAAAGAGCTATATTCAAATGCCAGCTAAAGTGTCAGGAATAACAAAGGCTAAGGTTTAGTTATGTCTGGGTTTAGCTATGGTGGATTACATCACCAGACTATCTCTTCATTGTATTTGCTCTGAAGTCATAGCAGCAGAAAAGGATACCTTACTGTGCAATGCAAACAGAAGGATACCTTACTGTTGCAAAATCATTTCTCTAATAGCTTTAAAAATTATAGATGCACCCCTAAGATAACCCAAGTTATTTTGTTTTCTAATTTGTTCTACTTTTCTGAAGCCATTGTGGTAAACGCTTGGGATAAGTCTTCATTATTTTCTTTGGGGGGGGGGGGGGGGGGGATGAACAGTAGTACTTAAAAGAAGTGAGGCTTTGTTTAAAAGAAAAAAGGCTGAAAGTTTGGTTTGGGATTTGTGTCACACTGTGCATTAATATGGCACCATCACAGAACACTGCCAAGAATTATTGTAATTTCCCTCCTTTCTGTCACGTCTAAATACATTAACATTTTTATACAGAGTGAAGCTATCTTAGTATAGCCCACAGGCAAGAATGTAGACTTCTTTAATTGATGGCTTTCTCATTTGAGGACATTTCTACTAAACTGCAAATTGTGTGAAATGAGTCATTTTGGAGAAAAATGATCATTTATCTTTCATCCCTCTGAAGCCATATTTTGAGGGGACTGAGCTTTGGTTTTCAATACAGTCTTCGCTAAAAAACATACTGATTGGTCTATCCACAGCCGAAAGTGAATACAGGTGCAAGCAGTTACCAGCTTACCTGGTGCACCAATAAAGGCTGCTCAGAGTCCAGCAGTTCAATTATATTGTTAATGTGCAAAGAGCATACACGTTAGAAGAAAAAAAAAAAAGGTTTAACTGTGCATTTACACCTGAATATGAGGCATGCACAAGAGGGTGCTAAAGGAAGCCAGTCTGCGCTTTTTGCCAGCCACACTGCAGGATTACTCACTGAGAAATGCATAGTTAGAACAGATCACCAGTGCTGTGTAGCTAAGTGAGGGTACTTTTGGATATGGGAATTGCAGCAAGATACTTCTTAACAACAGCAAGCATCTTTTGTTTGTGTAGAAGTTTCTTCTTAGCTAGTTGACTTTACTTAGGTGTTTTTGGCAGGTTTCTTTGCTCATGTAGAGACTTGAGCTAAGAAATCTGCCAGAAAATAAGTTCAAGCTGTGTGACGCGTACAATACTTCCATACAGTTACCATTTATTCTGCATTTCAAATAACAAAGTATATATGTGTTTAGTGTTCTTAACATTTCAGATGTGTCTTATCTATGAAAGACTCACCAAAGGAAACAAATATTTGTTCTGATGAAATACTCCATATTTCATTCCCAAGGAAGGAAAAACAGGCATACACACGACAAAATCATATGTGGCTGGTGGGTGCCTTGTAACATCAAGCACAGATCTGATGATAGAAACCTTCACTGTCTTGTGAGTGTTTTTGTTCAACAGACATTTCTGGAGAAGAAAAAACAAACAAACACATAAAGCAAAGCTGCAAATCCCTTTCACTGCACTTTAAACTATAAATCAAAATGGTGCTAAATGCTGTTACTGAAAAGCAAGCTCATATGGCTGAAAGTTTCTTGGCTGAGATGCTATCCAAAGTGGTAACCCAGATGGATATCTGCATGCTCCCACTGGCAGGAGTGGTTTAGCAACCAATGCTTTTGCTGTTAATTATTTCTGTGGTTATGTCATTGATCTATTCATGAGCTTTTTACGTCCAGGCCACTCTGTCAGGTTTTTCTTGGTCCATGTACCACACAGTGCTTGGCTTGGGAAACACCTTTCTCACTATGCAGCTCATGTTAGGCTGTAGGGCAGTAAAAGCCAATTGTTAGCCTCCAGCATTTCTCACTCGTCTTCCACTGCTGATATCCACAACAGACAGAGCCTCTCCTACAAATTTACCATCCTGCTTGGCAAGGAAGCACTTCCTTCCTCTTTATTTACTGTGTTTCTTCTCCTGCCATATTTCTCATTGGAGACATAACCGAAGGAAAATCAAGGGACACCCTCATCACTACTTGGGGCCAGGCTGAACAGTGGGCTTCCACATCCTTCAATTCAATACCTCAGGGACAAACACCATATGGAGAAACACTACTAGTAGTAATGGGCACAGTGCAGGGCCAAGAATGAGACGCTTCCTGATTACCATGCAACTCCTACCTTTGTTAGTTGTACAAGGAGACAAATTCCATGAAAAAAGCCACCTAGTACACTGATGCACTGAATACACAAAATCAGATACCTTCCTAGAGTGCATCATATATAAGAGGTTTCTGGAAATCACAAGAAATTGCGCGCTGTAGATGCAGCAGTTCTGGTTGTATGCCAATTGCTCCAAATAAATAAATAAATAAAAATAAAAAATCTGTTCTTGTACTCTCTTTACTTTCTCCTTAAGCAGTAAAGGGGAAGGACTGGAGAGATTCCAAAATCAAGGCTGGATGAATTGATGCGTACTAGCAGGGTGGGAGATCTTCATACTGCCTGGATGTTCCTAATTACATTTACTTAGCAGCTTATGATACTAAGAGGAATTGCTTTTTTCCTCTAAACAAAGACATTCATACTATTACTCATGCAGCACAAAGACCTTTGCACTCACAATCAAAGAAAGTGGTATACACTTTTAGCTGAAAGCAAGTTCGATATATTGCAGGCAGCACAAGGCAGTCATTCCGTATGAAGACTGGAACTACCCAACTGAAAATCTGTCTTGGTAAACAGTCATTGAACTCATAGCATAATTGCTTTCTTCTTTTTTTTCTGTTAATTTCTTGTTGTTCATAATATTTTTATAGATGTTTACTATGAAGAAATATAAATCTGCCATCCAAAATAGATTTAAACCTAACAATAAAGTGTAGAAAACAGACTGAAAAGAGTGAACGTTTATTTGGAGGTGAGGAACAAATACTCTTGAAAGGTTTCCTATCATCTGGTCCCAGGATAGCAACATCCCTTGCTCTGCTCAGCAGGGCAGTGCAAACAAGTGCTTGCAGTGTCCAACACCAAAATTGAAAATAAGTCACCAGGAAAATTACAGTGGTTCTGCAGAACTGCCTGAGCATGCCTTGTCTGAAAAGGCATGGATATGGACAATACAAGGGTCTGCCTGTTCACAGACACTCTTTTTGAGGAGAAATTTCTTAATTTGGGATGTTCGCAGATCAAAAGCTTCAACCTGGATGTAGGCAATTGGAAGCAAAGCATCATAACAAGAGCAGCTTGCTAGTCAGTCTTAAGGGCTAGAAATATGTTTTGTGCTAAGTACAGCTGGCACAGTACAACAGACTTTCCATTTAGGTTTTGCTGTTATGAAGCAGATGATAAAAGAAAGTCTCCAAAGTATACACCCAAGTAAGTGTTCAGCTCTAAGTAAGGATCCTCAAACTTGGATCTAGTCACTCCATAGATATTTGATTGCTTCAGCTGTGTTGTGCTTGTAGCATGATACATTACACCTGGCAAGACCATCACTTTCTCATAGACACTGTAGGCAACTTGGGAACAGCCCAAAGCTTCAACCCTGAGTCAGAGTAGCACCGCATCCGCTTGAAATTCATGGCAAGAACACAGAGGAACTGTTGCCCAAAATGAATGTTCCAGGGGAATCTCTTGATCAGTCCTCATTTCTATGATGCTGAAGCTCATCTCAGAGTCAGAGATGAAACACTGCCAAATTTTACTAGAAAATGCAGTTGGTAGTGACAACCAAAAATACACCTGCTTGTCCAAAGCCAGAATTGGTGATGTTCATGTTATTCCTTGCAGCCCCAGTCATGGTGGCAAATGATCTGCTCAATCTCTCCTGGAGCTTTCAGGCTCTCACTATGAAGAAGGGTTTCCCAATGTCTAACCTAAATCTTTCTTGCACAGTCTTTTCCTTCTTCAGGAGTCTATATGCATGCATCAGAAAGGCTATTCCATTCACCTTTCGCTGCAACCTTTCACAGAGGTGAAGAATCATAGCCTAAGGAAAAAAAATCTGAGAAGTGCAAAGAATATAAGTTTTAATTCTTTCCCCAGCAGATTTTGTTTAGAATCCTCATTTTTCATAATCAACAAGAATGGTTAACGTGGTCCAAGGTGTTTGCTATTTACCTTTCTGAGCCTGCCAGTTTCTTCACATTGTCTGCAATCCAAAATGGCAATGAGAACATTTCCTTGGAAACTTTCTACAGTTGGAACATAGCCATTAAAATGTTGTAAGTTTTTACTTGAAACTTAAAATAAAACATAAATTTTGTGACATAGGAGTTTCCACATCCTAATGTGACAGATATTGCAAAAGAAGAATTGTTGTTTTTTAGGAAAAAACAGTGGCATTTTCTGACTAGCTGGCTGTAAATCATATTTAATTCAAGCCCAAGGAAAGGACCACCCTCAAATGATTTGTATTCTTTGTCTTGCTTATTCATCAGAAGCTTGACTAGCTACTGTGCCCCTGATTCCTTACCTTTCCTTCCCCATGCAATATTATTCCCTTGGATAAATACCATGATTTCCATTGTTTCGTTTTTGTTTCAAAAAGTCATATATACCTTGAGTAAATAGCTACTTCCTAACCTAAAAATAAATAACTGAACATGAAGCTAAAGCTCTACAATTTCCATTGTGTCTCTAGAGAGACCTGCAGCCCCCTGCATGACCACTGACCACTCGCAGCCTCTCCATCCCATCCTAGAGCCTTCCCTGGGGCTAATGCAAGGTCAGACATTACCACACCATGGAGAATCCCTCAGCTAGCTCCCATTTGTGTTCACAGAAGCAGAATACTGCTATAGGGACAGGAATTGCTCAGAAGCAGGGATGTGAGTCATGGACAGCAGCTAAGTGACTTGCAGCTGCTGTATGAGCTCACCATTTGCAAGGTACCAGCAGAGCCCTCCCGTAGGCCAGTCAAAATTGCAGGGTAGGCTGGAAAGCAAACAGAAATGTATTAATGAAATAGGTACTGAAGGTCACAGTAACAACTTCTAATAATACTTAATGGCCTTGTTTTGTAAAAAGAGTGCAAATTAAATCCTATATACACCCACGTACCTGGCAAAATAAAAGCTTGCATACTCCAATTTGAGGTCAAGGAAGTGGTTTAGAAGCATATATCAGCAGCTACTACCGTAAGACCTATGATGCATTTCCCTACCTTTCAAAGTATGTCTGGATGGCTTTATTAAAGCTAGCTAAAACCATCCTGCTATCACAGCTGATAGCAGGGCATCAGTTTGACCTGTTGGTTCCTCCAGGTGTTTGCCTATCAAAACCAGCTGCAAAAGCTTTAGCCATTGCCTGCTGTCCCCCAAAATGTCTGTTGATGGTGAGTAACCAACTTCTCCTGTTCTAATATTTGGGCAGTTGTATGACAGTGTCACACCACAGACACTTCCTGATTGGCCAAGAAGCCCAAACTTCATCTTTGCATCAGAGCAGCACATTTTTGATGACCACAAGGAATGGAAGATGTGTGTTATTATTTTATTTTGTTTGCACAGTATTTCTGTTCCAGGCACAACTGACTGCATAGATACAAGCTATCAGGCACCATAAGCCTTTATTTTCCAGGCATTTCTGATTTAGCCATTGGTTTGCAGCTATGTTGAATGTTAAGTAAGAACTGCTGAAACTGTGGTAACAACATGTCTCAAAAGCCTTGAATAAATCATGTTTCTGACCCCTTTTGAGTCTTAAAACTGGACTGGAAACAAGTGAAGACCCTGTATTACTTAAGAGATCTGGAATTCTTTCTCTTTCCAACATAAGTCTTGTATAATTCTCCACAATTAATATAATTTGCTTTTCTCCTTTTTTTCTAACCCTGTTAACCCATAAAGGGTCACCTCAGTTCTTTACTTTCCTCCCTGAGGTAATGAGTTCAAGTTTCACTGACATTTTTTACAACTAATCCACCTAGGACTCTTTCTTCTTCTAATTTCTACTTTTCTACCTAGTGTTACTGACTGGTTATGCCTGGATTGACTTATTGGTGTGGTTTAACCCAGCAGGCAGCTAAACACCATGCAGCCTATTGATCACTCCCTCTCCTCCCAGCAGAATGGAGGAGAGAATCAAGGAAAAAAGTAGAACTTGTGGGTTGAGATAAAAACTATTTACTAAGACAGAAAAGAGAAAGAGAAATAATAGTAATGATAATTATATATATATGTATATATGTTTACAAAACAAATGATGCACAATGCAATAGCTCACCACCCACCGACTAGCCAGTCTCCAAGCAGTGGCTGCCCTCCCTGACCAACTCCCCTAATTTTTATAGTTTTTACCACATGATATCAGATGATATGGAATATCCCTTTGTTCAGTTTAGGTCAGCTTTCCTGGTTCTGTCCTCTCTAACCTCCCTGTGCCCCCCAGACCTCTAACTGGCAAGACAGCATAAAGACCTGAGAAACTAGAATGTTCTTGGTTCTGTATAGCACTGCTCAGCAACAACTAAAACATTGGTGTGTTATCAACATTGTTTTTCCCCTTAACCCTAAACTTTGCATCACACCACATGCTGTGAAGAATATCAACTCTGTCCCAGCTGAAACCAGAACACCTATATTTAATAATCATGGCCTTGTGTTTTTCTGAACTTAGGGTACATTTTGGGTGGAGTTTCCTTTTGTTTTCTTTTTTTCCTTTCCTTTCTGCTTTTTGTTTGAAGGATTCTCCTTATCAGAAAATGAATATCTTAAAACGTTCAATGTACAAACTGTAGTGGGGCTGTCAGAGGAAATATATGTATTTTCAGATGTAAGAAGACGTGTGGTAAAAGCGGGTTTTCTAACATGAGCTGAAGGTTGGCTAGTAGTAGTAAATAATATTGAATCTAGTGATGATTCTTCTTTTGGGGTTTTGATGAGAATAGGTATGTATCTCCACTTTCATGTTGGGTGCTTCTTTGCTTTTTCAGAAGATATGTTTTCTGCATAACTATTCTGGAAGCAGCTCTCATGCACAGCTCTGAATTACCAAGTAGATCTTTTTAATTTAACAGCTCAGCCTCTGTTAACTGTTTGACATTTATTTGTCTTTACCAATGGTTTGGGTCTAGCAGAAATTCAATTTTTAGTATAGCAGTTTCTGTTGCTGAGCCTTTACCAAAAGGAGAAATCAATATTTGGCAAATTTAGATGTGAGAAGACCACACATTTTCTCAGAAATTTGTACTTTAAAAGAGCTCCATTCTGGGAAAGACATATTTTTAAGCATTTCAGTCTGAAAGCACCCTCTTCAGAAAAGCTCTCTTGATTGAACACTTCTACTTCTTCTACTCAACCTATCAAGACTCTCAACTTCATTGAGGGACTCTCACTTGCACTCCCTATCCTTCTACTGTGCTCTCAGTCATACCCAGTTCATCTGTGAGGAAGTGTCACAGCTGTCCCTCAGACCTGTGTTGTCTCCTCTGTGTTCATGCTGCTCAGTGTGGGGTTCCTGCACTCGTTCTTCCCCAGCTCCTGCCTTACCAGTGAATGGGCTGATTCAATGAACGGGCTTGGAGCATACAACTACATTGCCTCCAGGATCTGATCTCTGTCAGTCCAAGGTCGGAGAAGGCCACCTCAACACCTATCACTCTCAGCACCCATCTCTCTCAGAGGGCTGCTCCAGCAAATCCTATGCTCGGAGCACTGCTAGAGGCTAATAGCCCAACACCACCATCAGAGGCCAGCCAGCAGTTTCCAGGAGCATCATAGGATGCCCAGAGAAAACCAGCAGCAAAGGCTGTGGTTTCTTTCTCTTGTTTGTATCCCTTCCCCTCCTGTACAGCTGGTGGGGGTGCATGCACAGACAGTCACACGTGACACAGTAATTCAGAGAATATGCCAAATAAATCAACCACTTTAGTTGAGTGATGTTCAAACCAAGGCAAAGAGCATCAGCAGGGGCAGAGGACAGGGAGAGTTCAAATATCTTAGTGTACTTGAATGATTATCCAGGTGACATTTCTAGCTGCTTGACAAACGTTGATTTTTTTATAAGTAGGACTTACATTTGAATCATGCAAACGCAAGAGGAAATCTCAGATCATTAACTTCTATTTTTGTTTCTCTTGCATCAATGACTAACAGCCCCAAGACGGAGGTTTACTTTTTCTTTTTTTCTGCTGTTCCTTGTAGAATCTTCCTTTGTATCCTAAGCTTCAAACCTTGCATTACTGTGCCATCTCTGAGCCATGGGCTTCCTCAAGTAAGCAACTACAGTCAAAGCATCGTCGACATTCCCACTGTTTGACACCTATTTACTTTAGGAGTTTTGGAAATTTGTTTTTCAGACCCATTGGTGTATAAGCAGAAATTACAGCCTTGGTGAGAAAATCTCTTGCCATCATTGATTATTTTGGTAGCAAAAATCTTTAGAGTGTTATTCAGACCCAAGACTCTGCACCCATACAGTGCACTGCCATTGCCATACACCTCACGATAGGAGGACTGCCTGGTTATAAGTTCCTCTTTCTTTTCCTCTGTGTTTTACATTTTCCTCTGTGAATAAAACCTCTCACATAAGACGTGAAGACAAAACACTCCCTCCTATTTTTGCAGACCAACACAATTCCCACCATGAAAATAGTGAGGAATAACACTAAGATGTACTTAAACATTTCCAACACCTATTTTACCCAAATACATTGTCTTTTTATGATGAAATTATTTAGAACTTCAAAACCTATTGTGTTCATCATCTTACCAATAAGGTATGGGGTAAATAGCTGCATATAATAACAGTAGGCAGATAAAAATAATAGGCAGAAATCACATCCTCTAACTGCCTGTGTGCCAGTCACCCTGAGATAGAGACATGTAGCACATCATGGACAGCTGTGCCTTGCTACATATTTGCAAGCTGTCCTCTGAATGACCTATGTGTATTATTGTGCTTTTGTGGTGTTTGTTTTTCTCCTTACTCTGCTGCTTGATTTTGTAGAGTGACATGGTTGCACTAAATCATGTTAAGGGCAAACATGTTCCCTTTAAAAATGTTAAAGAGCTTTAAAATTCAGAATTCACTGCAAAGAGATCTGAAGAGGTAATGGCCTAAGATAGAAGAATGAGAAACCTGTTGTGTCTGAAAGTCACCTTTCAGACCTCAACAATTACAACTCATCAGCGATAACACAGAAACCTAAGGGCAAAGCTCAAGCACACTGCTTGCTGGTATTTATACTGAAGTTAATGCTAGAAGGTTAAGACTCACGGAAAAGTGCTCAAACATAGTTTTTATGTAAGTGGTTAAATACGAGGGCTGCTCTGAAAGTAATGCCTCCTCTATTATTATGTTGGCCCACCACATCAGAGGTGGATGTTGGTGGTATGGCAGTAGAGGCTGTATCTTCCCATCAGTATTGTTACATTTTGTTGCCATGTGGCAGATGACAGCAGAGGGGCAGTCTGACACAATGCCACCTGATATGGAAGTGCGTGTGAAGTAAAGGTGTGCTACTGAATTTCTCCTTGCAGAAAAAATGGCGCCCATTGACATTCACAGATGCTTGCCTAACATTTATGGAGACCAAACAGTTGCATGTGAGCACAGTGAAGCAGTGGGTGATGCATTTCAGCAGTGGTAACAGCAGCATGAAAGACAAGCCACATTCTGGATGGCCATGCAGAATTTTACAAGAACAACACACAGGTTCTTGTTCATAGCTAGCAAAAAATGCATAGCTAATGGTGGTGCCTATGTAGAAAAGCAGTGTTTTGTAGCTGAGAATTTGCTCTATCAATTATAGTGTTGTTGTGGCCTTTGCACCCGTTGTAGTCTCCATGGAAAGAAATAGGAGGCATTACTTTCAGAGCAACCTAAGTCGATAACTGGGTTTGCATGTCTTCAGTGTGTGCCCGTGACATGGAGGTCAACAAAGCACAAAAGCTTTTCAGCTTTTTCTTTTTTCTTGTTTAAAAAAGCCTGATACCTCACTAACATATATTGTAGCTGTACTTTTCAGAGATATTAGAGCTCCACTACAGCAAAAATCCCTGAAGAAGCTGATGCAAAAAATATTTTATTATCATACTTTATTTGTTACGTTTGCTAAATTCTTTGGCACTTCCCACAGACCTGCTCTACATATGCTCATGAATAATTAAAAGCAATTAAGAAAGGACTTTTTTTTTTTTTTTTTTAAACA